TTCCTCATGCAACTGATGATGATTCATCTGGAAGGCCACAACTGTCTAAAGTTTAGAGAATGAGACTGCAGAGTGGTTTTCCCTGAATAGGATACCTATATTAAATCTCTGTCAGCCAAGGCTCAAGGACCATTGTGGAAGAGAGGGTGGAAATATTGTAAGAGCCAGAGGTAGTGAATGACCAAAGGAAACTGAATTCTCTAGGCAGCTGGTCAGTTACTCATGTGAACTTACAGTAATGATAGCAGCATGCATAAGACCCACACGAGCTCAAGACAGACAAAAATCCCAGCATATAAGTGAGGAAGTGAGTAAAAAGCTCCAAACTTAACTGAGGAACTATTGGCAACCATTCACTGCTGGGAGAGAAAGAGCTGGTTTTCTTTAAGGGTGTGATGCTAGATATATTAACCAGGTTCCAGGGTATGAATTCTGAGGGAAGGACATTTAGGTACAGAAACTTGACTTGATATATGACAGAATCCATGAAATCTGGAGGGGGACTATAAGAATAGTGCAGTTGGAGGGATCTAAACAGGATCAAAATGTAAGAAATTTGAAATAGTTCAATTAAAAGAAGACACACATTTGGGGCTATGGATCAGCTGAGACTGCTGTTGTGTAGCAATTTCCTCTGAGGTAAAAAAGCAGGATGTAAAAAGGCAGATAAAAAACAGAATGTTCTAAAGGGAGTCAAACACCAGAATGTTCTAAAGGGAAGTAAACAACAGGATGTTCTAAAGGAAGATAAACAGCTGGATATTCTAAAAGGAGGTGAAACAGTCCATCCTTTGGGGAAGCTCATCAAACTCAAAAATAAACAAGGAAGTCCCTGAAACTGACCAGGTTCACTATGCTGCTTCCTACCCAAGTATACATAAACCCTAAGGATTTCTGGGACCTAAGGATTTCCAAACACACTGAGGTGCCTGCCTAGAAGAGGCTCAAACTAAATAAGCTACCTGGAAAGAACATTCTCCAGCTTTTTAGCTGCCTGCAGGATGTGCAATGCACCACAGGTTTCCTGCTTTCATAAGCTGTCACTATGCTGGGCTGGGCTTTTGAGGATACAGCTGTCTTTGAGTCATTTGTGCTCCAGTAAGTAACCTGATTAAACTCATTGGTTTACCACCAAGTTGGAATTTGATGATATTTTACTTTGTTCTGTTTTGGTAGTGTGGTATGCAGCAGCATGGTGTATTACTTATTTTTCTGTTGCTGTGATAAAACACCATGACCAAGTTTTTTGGCTTATGGTTCCAGAGAGCTAGAGTCTGTTTTGCGGGGAGGCATGGTAGCAGATGTGGCTGGAGGAGGAAAATGTGTGATCACATCATTAAGCAAACACAGGAAGCAGAGAGAGAAACTGGAAATCTGGAAAGGCTGAAGAACTCTCAAAGTGATGAGCTTCCTCCAGCATGGTCACACCTCCTAACCATTCCACAACCTTCCCAAAACAGTGCCATGAACTGGGAACTGTTAGAGTCCAGGTTGGCAGCGACCTTCCTCCAGTGCAGTAAAGCCTCACAAGACAGGCCCTGGGTGGCGGGAGGGCTCTCAAAAACAGGAGTTGAATCAGCACGAGTCAGCATAGTCTTTCCCCCAGAGTCAGCATGATTCAGCATATTGTTTCCCTAGAGTCAGCATTAGTCAGCATAGTCTGTTTCCCCCTGCTAAGTTTTGCAATATATTGACTCCTGCCTCCCACCAAAGCTTTGCAATATATTGACCCCTGCCTTTGGCACCCCTATAAGAACCTCCAGCCAGTAGCTTGTGAGCTGGTGGCTTCCTCACTCCTGAGCTAAGAGCCTCCCTGTGTGATCTTCCAAATAAACCCTGCCCTGCCAGAATTCTTGTCTGTGTCTAAGGTTTTTACTTATCATATGGTGCCAAAACCTGGCACACTGCCATTGGAGATTGCACATAAAGTACTCTGGCTGGACCCAGTTGCCACTACTGCTCCCCCTCCAAGCACACAACTGATTTGACTTTGAGGTACATCCTGACTCTCTCTCTCTGCTCTCTCTCTCTCTCTCTCTCTCTCTCTCTCTCTCTCTCTCCTCCATTCTCAACCTCTCTGTTGTCTTCCTTTCTATTTGACTGGGAGGTCACTCCCAGACCAAACTCAAGACCTCTAGGCAGCACTTGTCTCCATAACCCTTGAGTGTCCGGTATGGTTACTGTGCCTCCCTAAACCCACCTGAGGAGTAGACCTGCCCCTCATTTGCTCTCAAACCTTTTCTCTTAGAGTCTCCAAATCCCAATGACTAGTTCTTCTAAAGCAGCACAGACCTCTCTCAGCCTGATAAAAGGTTTTCCAACTGCCTGTTGTGACTGGGAATCCCAGAGACCTTGGCAGCCTACAACATATGCAGGGGGTGCAGGCCTCTTGTCTTGAGGCCATATTAGTGTTCTGTGTAAACCTTTTGAACTTTGGCTCCATGGGCCAGAGTCTCTTCTTTTGCTCTTGTACTTATACTCTTTGGAATTCTGAGAGAAGGCCAACTCCACAATGGCATGGGCTTGACCTGAGGCATGTCCAAAGGCTGGTCCTTATACTGGGTAAAGAGGGGAAGGCAGACTCTGGAAACTTCCACTCTCCTTTTCCTCCCACAGCCTCTCACTAAGCCTCAGACTCTCTCTCTCCTCACTCCCTGCACCTCCTCTTCACTTTCATTTCCCCACACTCCATGATTCCAAGCTTTTCTTTTCCTCTCTCTTTTTCCTCGCTCCTACCCTCCTTGAGCTCCTTTTCCCTCAGCTTCCCTGGGTATCTGTATCTTCTCTGTCTCTGCCTCTGTCTCTCTCTCTTTCTCTCCTCTCACCACCCCCTACACCTCACATTTGATTTTCTACGCCACCACCTGTCTGTGCCTCACTCTCACTCCTGGGCTTTCTGCTTGAGCTGTAAAACCACACCAGTATGTCAGAAAGTTCCTTCCCTCTCTGGTTACAGGATACCATTTCCAGAGAGAGGAACATGGTCACCTTCCTGTCCAGGACAGGAACCCACTCTTTCCCTTCTCTGGTGATTGCAGGATGCTGCCTCCAGGAACAGGGAACATGTTTCAGGCCTCCATTGGTAAGGGACACCTTACTTGATGATTGGTCCTGCATGCTCTCACTTGGCCTGACCTGCAGCCTATATCTCTCATCCTCCTCCTCCCTCCTCCCTCCTGCCCTTTGTTTCCTTGCATCTCTTGTTTTTCTGCCAGGGGTCCTAGTGGCCATCTCAGACTGCACTCCTTGTGGAGAGAGGATCCTCACTGTCTCCTTCTAACTACTTGCTCAGTTCCTCCTCTATTTTCTCATTGCTGTCCACCTGATCTACCACTATGGGAACCTCTCAGTCTAATCCTGAAGGTCTCACACCTCTTGTTTGTCTTAGGACTTTCAGACACAATCAAGCCCAAATGCTTAAAGTTTCTGTGCACCACTGCCTGGCCACAATGCAAGCCAGACAATGACTCTGTTTGGATGGACACAGGAACCCTAGACTTCAACATTTTAAGAGATTTGGATAATTTCTGACAGCATAGTGGCAAAAGGTCTGAGCTCCCCTATGTCCAAGCCTTCTTTGATCATTGAGATAACCCTCCCTCTGCACTTCTTGTTCCCAGCATCAAGTCCTCCTTTCAAAAACTATTCCACATAAGCTCAACCTATCTACCCCTCCCTCCCTGGAGCCCTCTGCTCCCCCTCCATACTCCTCTACCTCAGCCTTTGATGTCAATGTAGTGAACGAGCATCCCCTAATTAGGACTCACTCTCAACTTCCTCCTTCCCTTCAACCAGAGGCATAGAGGGCTCCTCCTCCCACTCGACCTTCACCATATCCCCCTTTGCCTCCACTCCATGAACCTGACCCAGCTCACCTCCCTTCTCCACCTGAAACTCCCACTTCCAGGTCATCCCCTTCTCCTCCACCCTGCCACCCCAAGTGACATACTCCTTCGCTCGCTGGCAGCTGTACCCCACTTGAATACAGTTCAGGCCTCAAACAGCCTATTGATCTCAAGCACCTTCTCGACAAACACCCTCTACTCTCCCCCTTTTCACCCTCTACTACCAAGAATCCATTTATCTCTTCTATGTCCACTCAGACTCCTGCCTCAACCTCAGGGCATGCCTTCTGTTTTCCCACATTCCTTTGTGGACAGGACACACTTCCTAATTCTCCAACTCCCCAGTTGGAATTCTCTGACCTCCCCTCTCTTCCTCCTCCAGCCCCTGGGTCTTGCCATACTTGCTCCATGCCCAGTCTCAGCCCTCTGCTTCTTGTGGAATCTTCCCCCTTTGAGAGTTGGCCGGAGTGGAGAGAGTCGTTAAAGTCCACATCCCATTTTCCCTTGGTAACTTGTCCCAGCTTGAGTGCAGAATAGGCTCTTTGCTTACTGATCCCACACATTTCAAACAAGAATTCAAATACATCACCCATAACTATGACTTAACCTGGCATGACAACTTTATGACTCTCCAGTCTAACCTCACCCCTGATGAGAGACATAGGGTCTGGATAGCAGGACAAGAGTATGCTAATGAACTCCATTCTACCAACTAGATCCATCTCATTGAAACTGAGGCAGTTCCCTTACAAGACCCTGGGTGGAATTACTCACTCCCACTGGGAGATCAGGAAGGACCTTCCCCAGGTAGGGCAGCAAGGGACCACATGATCACTTGTCTCCTGATGGGTCTTCAGAGAGCTTTGCCTACTAAGGTAGTTAACTTTGAAAAACTTAGGTTGATTTCCCAGGGCCCTACTGAGACCCCAGCTCAGTTTATGGACAGACTTACTGATGTCCTAGTTCAGTATACTCAGAGTTCAGAAAGGGATGGCTTATGCTTAATCACTATTTTATGTTACAATCATCCCCATACATTAGAAGGAAATTTAGACACCTAGACAAAGGTCCTGAAACCCCCACGGGAGATCTGTTAAACCTGGCATTTAAAATCTCCAATAACTGAGGGGAACAGGAGAGGGTAGACAAACTCACCTTGTCCAAACAAAAGTACCAGCTGATGACCACAGTCCTGAGGGCTCCTACGAAGAAGATGATGACACCAATGGGGCCCAACAGCTGCCACCAGTTGTGCTTCAAATGTGGACTCACTGGACACTGGGCAAGGCAATGCCCAAATGCACAGCTGCCACCTGGACCCTGTCCTCAGTGAGGGCAATGAAGTCTCTGGAGGGCTGATTGTCCTTCTTTGCAGTGCCAAGGTAGGCCACTCACCTCCCAGACCCAGCCTGATTAACAGGGATCAGTGAATGACCTCCTGGGCCTGGTGGCTGAATACTGACAGGACCCTGGCTCCTCAGCCCCAATCTCCTCGAGCTCATGGCTATGGTGATGGGTAAGACTATTAACTTTGTTTTGGACATGGATGCTGTATTAGTCAGGGTTCTCCAAAGAAACAGAATGGGGAGAATGAATATATATGTATAGGGATTATCAGCTTAGCTCACAGGATAGAGTCCAAGTAGTCCAACAATGGCTGCACCACACTGGAGAGGCTGAGAATCCATAATTGCTCAGTCCACAAGGCTGGATGTCTCAGGAGTCCCAATCTGGTGCTGAAGGTCTGACAAATTCCAAAAGATCAGCTAGTCTTCAGTCTACAGCAGCAAGATGAACTCACCAGCGAGAGAGAAGGCAAGCAGCAGGAAGCCTGGCATTCTCCTCTGCCTTGGCCTTTTATACCAGCTGCCATCAGAAGGTAACACCCACCTTCAGGGTGTGTCTTCCAGCTTCAGATGATCCAATCAAGAAGATCTCTTTCATTTCAGTTAATCCCAGATCCAGTCAAGTTGACACCCAGGATTATCCATCACAGGTGCCTTGTGGTCTGTTCTTCCTTCCTACTCTGGTAGAGTTTTCCCCTCACAGATCTGTGTGGTGGAGGTTGAGGGAAAGCCCCATAACCCCCAAACAACAGGACCCTTGTCTTGCATATTCTGGGAAACTCCCTTATCCCACTCTTTTCTGGTTATGCCCTCATGCCCAGCACCTCCACTTGGCAGAGATCTCAGGCAAAAGCTCTAATTGTCTATATCTTTACACTTATCCATAGCCTTCCTCCTTTTCCCTATACCCCTCCCCCCCACAAGATTAGGACCTGGCCGCTTACACCTTCTTAGGTCAATCCCAAAATTGGGCACCGTGACCCTGGGACTACCCTCTCATCACACTCCCATCTGTATTTCCTTAAAGGATCCCTCACTATTTCCCTGTAGACCCCAATATCCAATTTCACTCAAACAATGCCAAAGACTCAAGCCCATCATTCAGACTCTTTAAGGTTAATCTCCTCAAGCCCAGTCACTCACCCTACAACACTCTCATTCTCCCTATTCTTAAGCCTGATGGCTCTTACCGTTTAGTACAGAACCTCTGCCTCATTAATGCATTGGTAGTGCCCATTCACCCAGTTGTCCCCAACCCCTATACTCTCCTCTCCCATATCCCCTTCTCCACAATCCTCTTTGCTGGCTTAGACCTTAAGGATGCCTTCTTTTCAATACCTCTATATTCTGACTCTCACAACCTCTTTACATTCACTTGGGAAGACCCTGATACTGAGACAGCATCACAAGTAACCTGGACTGTCCTACCTCAGGTGTTTAGGGACCGCCCACACCTCTTTCTACAAGCCCTGGATCAAGACCTATCTTCCCTAGATCTACACATCTTCACCATCCTACAGTACGTAAATGACTTCCTCCTCTGCTCCCCATCTCTTCCCTTCTCTAAATCCCATACAATCAAACTTCTAATTTTCTGGGAGACAAGGGTGTCTCCAGCAAAGACACAACTTTCTCTTTCCCAAGTCAAGTACCTGGGTCTCCTCCTTACCCCCACCTTTCACTGCTTAACTACAGATAGAACAAATTACTTAAGGTGATTAAAACCCCCTACAACCAAGGAGGAAATCCTGTCCTTCCTAGGCATTGCAGGATATCTACACACCTGGATCCCTATCTTTGCCCTTCTAGTCAAGCCTCCCTATGAAGCCTCCAAGGGGGACCTCCCTGAACCCATCGAGTCTCTAGAGCCAGTAACAGCAGTGTTCCATACACACTATCTGGGAGGCCCTACTAAAGGCAGTGGATCTAGCTCTCCTCGACTTGGGATCTCCATTTCTCATCTGTATGACTGAAAACAAGGGCCTGGCATTGGAGGTCTTGGGACAGATGAAGGGACCCACTTTTGCCCCAGTAGTTTATCTTTCTAAACAACTGGATACCACCATCTGGGGATGGCAGTATTGTCTCTGTGCTCTGGCTGCTGCATCCCTCCTAGCCCAGGAGGAGCTTAAGCTCACCCTAGGTCAGCCCATCTTTGTCTTCTCCCCTCACCGTCTTAAGGATCTGCTAACCCACTCATCCCTTGCTTATATAGCCCCCTCAAAGCTACAACTTTTCCATGCCCCCTTTCTTAAAAACCCCTCACTCACCCTTGACTTCTGCCCTCCTCTCAATCTTGCCTCCCTCCCTTTGAAAAGCCACTCACTCACTCATGCCTGGAAACTCTTCAGGAATTTTCTTACTAGGACCCCTAAACCTCCCCAGAGCCCCTACCTAACCCAACCCTGACTTGGTTTGTGGACAGACGTTTAACCCTTACTCTGATGGGTCCCGCAGGGCAGGGTATGCCATAGTGTCCCTTAGAGACATCATTGAGTCAGGACCACTGCTGCCTGGGACCTCTTCCCAAAAGGCTGGGCTTCTGGCACTCACTAGAGCGCTAACTTTAGCCAGGGGTCAGAGGGTTAATAATTTTACAGATTCTAAGTATGCCTTCCACATACTTTATCACCATGTCTCAGTGTGGAATGAAAGGGGTCTCCTAACTGCCAAGGGAACCCAATAACTAATGGACCATTGATCCTTATACTTCTAGAATCCTCCTACCTTCCAGCTAAGGTGGCTGTTATCCACTTAAGGGCCATCAACCTCTCTCTGGTCCCATAAATAGAGGCAACAGCCCAATAAATCTGGGGCATACCTTACTCTCAGTCCAGCATCGCTTTCTCAGGAGATCCAGTACCTGAAGCAGAAGCTTACTATGGCAGTAGAGGCAAGAGCTCCATCAATCCAGATCCTACAACAGCAACTGTCCTCCCTAGCCGAGGTCGCCCTCCAGAACAGGCAAGCCCTGGACCTACTAACTGCAGAAAAAGGGGTACCTACATGTTTTTAGGCAAGGAATGCTGTTACTATGGCAACAAATTCGGTAAGGTCAAGCACAATGTAAAACGCCTTCAGCAGGTGGCCAAGGATCTTTCCAGATACCAATAGTCACCCCAGTGGAATATTTTACAGGACTAACACCTTGGCTTCTGCCCCTACTTGGCCCCCTGATTTCTATTACTCTAATGCTAACTATTGCCTTCTGCTGTTTCAGGTACCTTCAGTGCCAGATCCAGTGACTCATGCACACTAACTTTAACCAAATGTTATTCTCTTTTCCCCATGTGTATGAATGCCTGTTGACCACTGAGAACCTTGTTCAGATACACACAATGGAGACCTCTGCTGCCTGACCATCCTCTAGCCCCTGGTCTCTCCTCATGCTGAACCTGACTAGCAGAGAGTAGCCAGATGAGAAATGCTGCCCCTTATCCTATAACACAAAAGGCTGGAATATTGGCAGCAACCCTCCCCCACTGCAGTAAAGCCTCACAAGCCAGGCCCCAGGGTCCTCTCAAAAACAGGAATTGAGTCAGCATGAGTCAGCATAGTCTGTTTCCCCCAGAGTCTATGAGTCAGCATAGTCTGTTTCCCAGAGTCAGCATGAGTCTCTTTCCCCCGATAAGTTTTGCAATGTATGGACGCCTGCTTCCTGCTGCCAAAGCTATTTTTATCTTTCCTGCCTTCCACACCCCTATAAAAGCCTCCAGCCAGCAGCTTGCAAGTTGGTGACTTCCTCACTCCTGAGCTAAGAGCCACCCCGTGTGATCTTGCAAATAAACCCTGCCCTGCTAGAGTTCTTGTCTGCATCTGGGGTTTTTACCTATCAGGAACCAAGTATCCAAATAGTTGGAGCTTTTAGGGGATATTCTCATTCAAACTACCACACTCTACTCCCTGGCCCCTATAGGTTCATGACCATATTGTAAGTTAAAATGTGTTTAGTCCAACTTTAAAAGTTCCCATAGTCTTTAACAGTCTTAAGACTATTCAAAAAAGCTAGAGTCCAAAGTTCTTGATGAGACTCAAAGCAATCTCTTAATTGTAAGTCCCTGTAAAGTCAAAGACAAATTACATGCTTCCAACATACAATGAAACCAAATACAATTCCCATTCTTCAAGGAAGGAATAGGAGCACAGTGAGGAAATACTGGACCAAAACAAGACCAAAATCCATCAGGAAAAACACTAAATATAGCAGCTCAATGACTGATATCTTGGACTTTTTTTTGCAAAGGGCTCAGACGGCTCAGCCCCTCTAGTTTTGCTTCATGAAACAGATAACTTTTTCTCTTGGGTTAGTACCTGTTGGGTAGGTGTACCCTCTGAGGAAACTAGAGATGAACCCCCTAGAGATGGACTCTGAGACACGCTGAGCACACTGGGAAAAAGGTGAGGAGAAGTTGCCATTTTGGAGTGGGTCACACAGGTGAGAAGCACATGGATGGCATGGATCTCAAATATGGGAGAGAAAGAGCCCATCAGAGTTCATGTCTTTGTAAGTCACCCCTTCCTGGATGTCATAAACTATATGAAACAGGCATCCTGTCAGTTTTGTCAGCCCTGGGAGCCCAGAGGGTGTGAGCAGTTCTCCCAAGGGAGAACGGGGACAATTTGATGTGATAAAATTGGCGTAGTATGGCTGGAAAGACAAACAGCAGGAGTCTGGGAAAAACAGTGGAGATGTCTTGGATAGGGAGAAGCCAGAAGGAGCCCAGAGGCTCAAACCTGACCCTGGAATGGCAGAGATGGATGTCATGAAGCATCTAGTGTGGCAATTTGACAGATCCTGGAGGGGAAAATAATCCCTGTTGGGAGGCCATCCTGTAAATGGGGTTAGCTTGGTTACTTAAGCAGTGAAGTTCATCACCACATGTGTATGAAAATTCTTTAAGTACTGTGGACAGTCTAGATAAAATTTTAAAAGCCTTGGAAGTGAAAGGGGAATCCAAAGAAAAATAAATTGTTGCTAAATTGGCGAGGCAGGCCACTTCTTTGCATAATAAAAGTCTTGTCCCAGGCAAAGGTGATAGCCTCAGGGAACGTTGAAAAGACTAAGGAATTGCTGGCAAATTCTGTCTTAGCCTCAGGACTTGCAAATAAACCTCAGGAGAGAGGTTTA